TCCTTCCTTCCTTCCTTCCTTCTTTCTTTCTTTCTTTCTTTCTTTCTTTCTTTCTTTCTTTCTTTCTTTCTTTCTTTCTTTCTTTCTTTCTATTTTTATGTCTAGAACTGAAAGTGTAGCATAGATTTTTTTCTGACCTCTGTCTGACACTATGGCTCTGGTCCAGCAGTGTTCTGTTTTTTATTGCCTCTCATTGATAGGCAAGAAGTCCCCTAACTGTACCAGTCTCCCTGGGGTGGACTCTGGACTCCTTCCCATTCTGCTTGTAAAGTTTCTATTTTACTTTTCTACGGAAATGAGAGATTTTTGGCCTCATTCACCTATTTTGACAGCTGTTACCCAGAATTCCCTGGTTCATTCCCTAAAGATTCTAGTGGACCATTCTTGTGTGTCATCCAGTATTCAGATTTGGATTCTTCCTGATGTAATGTCTCCAGAAGATCCTATAGTGTGCTTGCTGAACCTAAGCATGTTACTATGAAACCTGCTGCAGACAAAGGAGCTGGTGAGGTAGAGGCTGTGGAAAGACACACAGACTCATAGGGGATGTGTTTAAGGAAGCACTATCAGCTGTCTTGGAGGCTTCAGAACCAAGGGAGAACAGCACGAGGGTGTCTTTCTGAATGTTTCTGTGCGCCCTTTCTGACCTTCTGACATCTGCCTTTGAGTAGAGGCAACATTCAAACTGTACTGAGTAAATATCCAAAGTACTTTTGCAATAATTACAAATGTCTTTTACCCACTCAAGCGCTTTCAATGTGAGAAACAGTTAGTAGGGACCCACTTGTCCCTTCCAAGTCAGTTAAAGACCAGAAAAACAGGAGCAACAATGCATTATTAAAAGTTTAATCAGGGGCTAGAGAGATCCCTCAGAGGTCCAAGGTTCGGTTCTCCACCCCCACCTGGTGACTCAGCCATCCTTAACTCGAGTTCCAGGGGACCTGACACCCTCTTCTGACCTCCACAGGCATCAGACCTGCATGCAGTGCACTTATATACATGCAGACAAAATACTCATACACATAAATAAAAAATCTTAATTAAAAGTAATTGCCAGATTTTCTTGCTTGTATTTAGTGTGTTTCAGTATGAAACCTAGGGCTTTGCACAAGTTAGCTAAATGTCCTGCCACTGAGTCATGCTTATAGCCTGGCTAAGTTTAAAGTCAAGTCATGCTTGCGTTTAACAGATAAGCAGCTCAGTAGAGTGACAGGACCTTCCTAGAACACAGCAGAGGAGGTAGGTGTGCAGGGTTGTGGTGAGCAGCTCTGTCAGAAATCAGATGTCTGTGGGTTCTAGAGGCATGCTATAGGTAGCTGAGGAAGGGAAAAATTTGACAGCCCAGGAGCAGGCTTGGGAGAGGCCTGGCTTTGCAGATACCTCAGCTATCCTGGTAGGATTCTCTAATGGGATAAATATCATGGAAAGGACCTTAGTTACCCACTGTAGACTAGCAGTGGTTTTAGCAGAGGCATTTTGACTTTTCATATATTTTTAATGGTTTGATGCTTAATTTTTATTTTTCCTAGATATTAGTTGTACATTAATTATTTGAGACAGTATTTTATATTTTTAGAATACATTTAAGAATTATTTAATAAGGACTGGACAAAAGCCTTAAAACACCAAAAAGCCCTGCTGTTAATTCAGAAATTTACACCAGAACATTGGCTCAATGGAGAAATAAACACAGCAATCCATATTTTTTTTTTGTCTGATAATTGGCTAGGATTAAAAAGAAAGTCAAATGTTGACTGGGAATGTTGACTGGGAAGGAAGTAAATCATCATCGCTTCACTGTAGCATGAGTTCGTAGCATCGTGTGACACACATTCATATCTTTTATGTCAGGAGGTCAATTTATAGAAATTTATGCAAAGAACAAATTTAGAATTGCTGGTAAGGCTTTGTAAACAAGGGTAGTTAGGCAATATTATTTGTAGGACTTAAATTTTAACAGCTTGAAAAGTCTAACTAGTGGATTTGACTAAAGAAGTTAGAAGAGTTCCATTTGATAGATGATGGAATTTGAAAGTCTATCATTATATTCTTGACTATTTTTTTAGAGATAAGACATAACTTGGGAACAGTGCTTTTCCTCAGTGATCATTTACCTCTCTTGTTTTCTTTTCCTACTAGCTTGGTTGGTATTCCAGCTAACACTGCAGGCCTGCAGGCCTTCTACTTATTTGTGCATGTTTCTGTCCTTCTTCAATGATGAGGACCTGAAGGTGTACATTCCCCACCACTCCTCAAGGCCTAAGTCTATTACCCAATGAATACTGACATATTTAAAACATTAAAATTTCTGCAGTGTTTTAGTACTGCTTGTATGGTAGGAAACATGGGAGAATTGCCAAGTAGTTTAAACTTTGCACAATAAACCACAAAGTAAATACATTTCCATCACCAATGAACAAGGGCTAACTATATCCACATGTCTTTTCATACTAACTTTCTTCCTATGTTTATATCTAATTATATCTCAAAAACTATGACAAGCATGGGGATCTAGCCTGTGATGGTTCATAGGTATACCCATCTCTGTCATTTATCTTTGGTCCTTCCCTAGCATTTCCTTCATAGTGTACAAATTGAACATTCTGGTAAACAAAACTCTGAGTTAATTAACCAGTTGTGTACCATAAAAGAGGCACTTAGGCTGAATACATATACGCAGTATATGGTTTTGAGTATGCGGTGTAGTTCTACATTTTAAAATTCTATATATGTGTATTTGAGAGACCTGAAGGTATATGGCATAATGTCAATAATAAATCTGCACTACTTGAAATGGGTATCTTAGAAATGAAAAAAGTGCATGAACTAAATCTTTTGGTATGGTAATATAAAACCTATGGAACTTGAGCTAAAGAATCCTTTTCTTAATTACAGAAGGAGAGAACTTGCCTCCACTATGCTGTGAAGAAGAGGTTTACCTTCTTTGATTATCTACTCATTATCCTTTTAATGCCTGTCTTGCTTATCGGATATTTCCTCATGGTGAGTACTGTTACTAGGGCAAAGGGCAGGTGTTCAGGAGGGCTGTGGGATGACTCACCAAGCTTCCCCTGGCAGTGTGATGGAAAGAAAGCACAATAAAATAAGCCCTTGTTTTGTGCATGTATTTCTTGACTTACAGCGGGTTCCTGTGTCAACAAACCTCTCAGAGATGCAAATGTTGTAGGTAGAAATGTATTGCTTTACCCAGCCTATCAAATGCCATGTCTCAGAACCTCAGTACGTTCTAGAATAAATACAAGGTGTTGACCATCTGGTCACACTGGAAGCTGTAGTTCACATCCATTGCCCAGCAGCACAAGAGTTTTAAAATCACTGGCTAAGGTTTTTGTTTTATGTCGTCTCTCCCCAAGTTTCTGAATTTTAAGGATGCACCATAATGGTAAGTTAGAGGAAAAATCCCAAGTCCTCAGCCTCTAGAAGCTGGCTGACAAACACAGAAGGTATTTATGAAGGTTCTGTCCCAGTCTTTCACCTTGAGGAACTGAATCACCCTTGTGTGGGTCTTTGGAAGGATGATTTTCTTGAATAAATAATAGGTAGATAGTGTAGGAATTGTAAGTAGAAGGTCAAACTTGGTTATTTGGCTTATTTTTTTGTTTTCTTCAAATATGGTGACTAATCTACACTGATTTGTTCACTTTTTCTTATCTGAGTCCCATGGTGACCAGTCCCACTGTTGAGAGATAATTAAAACAATGTGTCACTTACCCTCTTTTATGTATTTGGCAGATAATAGATATCAATTATTCCTGTTAACACAAGTTCCCATATAAATTCTGCCAGTTAAAAATGCTATTTTCTACCTAGGTACTTAAAGGATACAGAATTTAAGGAATGTGGTGAGAATTCTTTAATTCACTCTGAACATACCATTTGAACACACATCTTTGAAGGCTTTTTGAAAAAAATTGTCTATATCTTTACCTGGTAGTGTTTGAACATTTGTCATCTCTGGGCAGGAAGAATCTGACATTCATTTATATTTTAGAGGTTTTGAAAACAAGCATTCCAAGATGGTTATAAGGCTTGTTCAGAATTCTCTGTCACACAACTCTGCTTTCAAACACGGCTCAGAAGCTGGAGGCCTATCTGTAAGGATGCTGACTGTCATCAGCAGCCCAGCTGTACCTGCATCCCTACACGCTTAGTGGGACCTGGGATTGTGAGTTTGTGCAGCATGTAGAATAGGCAGCATTAGACAAATTACAGGGAAAGGACTAGAAAGGACCAAGTCATTTCAGAGAAGGGCCAGGGCAGAAATAATTTAGAAGGTGACACAGGAGTACAGCATTGGGGGGAAGACACCTAAGTGGAGTTTCAGAAGTTGAATGGGGAAAATGCCAGGCTTTGCTTATGTGAGTGGCAAGGTCTTTGTGTCCTCAGGTGACCGGGTGTTGGAGAAAGGTTCCTACTGTAATGTGGTCAGAATCTTAATAGGCGAGAGAGAGAGAGAGAGAGAGAGAGAGAGAGAGAGAGAGAGAGAGAGACAGAGAGACAGAGAGACAGAGACAGAGACAGAGAGCGCACATTTCTAAGGAGCCTCAGATCATGCAATTCACTTCTTCTGTCCTATACCACATGTTTATCATGGCAGTCTTTGCCCTCATCAGTCACAGCATGATGGGAAGGTGGTTGTTACCAAATGGCGTGGACTTGTAGAAAATCACAGAGGACACGGGCATTACAAAAGCCTAGAAGAAAGGGATTTCACCTGGCCAGGTAGACCAGGGAAAGCTGGAGAAAAGGGGCATAGATTGGAAATATTACAAATACATTTTCTAGGCAGATAAAGCTTCTAGTTGAAGAAATATCCTGTGGCATGATTCTCTGTAGGGAGGGCACTTGGCAGGAAATGAAGATTTAACAAAAGCCATTGTAGCTTGAGTAGGGGAGCCAGGAAGTGGAGCACGTGAAAAGGTTAAGGCCGTATGCTCTAGGGCCACTCAAGAGTTTAGATATTTTCCCCAGAATAATGGGAATTTATAAAACTTTTGAGCCAGCAAGGGGAAGTCAGGAACTAAATCTCACTCTCATAAGATATGGTAGAAATGGGCTAGGCCTGTGGATATGCATTCTGAACAAGTTCCTGGGTGTGAAAATTTGTATTCCTGAAGCAAAGCTTGAGTACCGTGTCCTTAACTGATACTGTAGTGTGTGTGTGTGTGTGTGTGTGTGTGTGTGTGTGTGTGTGTGTGTGTGTGTGTGTTAAGAAGTAGGAGCATAGGATTAACATGAAGCCAGTTGATTGGAGCAGTCCCAAGCAAGATGTACAAAATGTTTGTGAAACACTGTCTTGTTCTTGCTGTTTGTAACAGGTATCAAAGACGAAGCAGAATGAGAATCTTGTACGCATGCTCCTTGATGCTGGCGTTGAAGTTAATGCTACCGACTGTGTATGTTTGTATTTTGAAATACTACTCAAGTGATATAACAGGGTAGAATACTTGCTGTTGACAAAGTTACATGCTTTATTTTTTTAGATGTGCACACATAGTTTTGCTTTCTTTCTTCTTATTGCCATCAGGTAACTTGAAGTTATTGATATTCTGTTTGGCTAAACTCATGAGCATAAAATATTTGTTGATTCTAGGAAAATTTTAAAATATTTTGCATTTGACTTTAGTGATAAATTAAGGAAAATGATACTAAAATATTGCCCTTAGCAGTTTGCAGCTGGAGTTAGGTAGAAAGTCTATGTGTGCATTTAATCTTGTCACTTTTTAGTTAAGTGGGCTTGGAACACTATAAATATATACAGCTCAATGGTCTTATCTATAAAATGGAGATTAAAACAAATTGTGCTGGAGCCTGAACTCAGAATATCCTACATGCTAGGTAATACTCTACCACTGAGCTATACCTATCCTCCTTAAAATTGTGTTATTGTTGTTGTTATGAGACAACCTTTTGTTATATTATTCAGGCTGGCCCTGATCTTGTGACCTTCAGCTTCAGACCCAAGAGTATCTGGGATTACAGACCTGCCGAACATGCCTAGTTGTAAATTGGAAATTAGTACTGACCTTGTAGGGCAGATTCCTAGGAAGTCCTCAGAAGAGATTAGAATGCAGTCAGTACCCACCTCATGTTAATTGCTGCTACAGTCATGATCCTAGTCACTAGAAGAGAGGTTCCTTTCATAAATGGAAGGGAGATAAGCTCAAAGTTTAGAGAAATACCCCAGTGTTGGCCGGAGCCACGATAACCGAAACACCATCAGCTCCCGCCTTTCCATAAGGAAGTAGAAGTTTTGTTTTCACCTTTTACTCCAGTTTTACTTCTGCTAATGCTCAGGGTCAGCTGAAATTTTGTTATCCTGTTGTTTAACTTTCTTATATTGGTTAGAGAAAATTTTATATTTCCAATATTTTAGCAAAAAGGGCAAGTTGAAATTTGATTTAAAAGGAATTGAATGCCTATTTGCAATGCCTAACTTATTCTGTGGGTGTTACCATTGTCCTGTGATAAATGTCCACTTCATTCTTGTTTCTATTAATTACTTACATTATTTGATATTATATTTTATTTGTGTTTAAATCAAGGTGAGTTTAATATCTTTTTATAAGTTTCACATTTTAGTTTAGAGTAGAAATGAGAAAGGGGAAGATATCAATGATTTACTGAATTTTCATATACATAGTGAGGAAAAGAAGAAAATGTTCATAATATAAGAAATGCAGCTGCCCATAGATGGCTAGCAGATTGGCTTTGGTTAGTTGTCCACTACAAAATGTGAATAGTTGCTATGAAAGTGTGTGCTGAAGCCTGTGGACAGCCTGACTGATGAACTACAAATTGGTCCTTTGTGTTTCAGTATGGCTACACAGCTTTGCATTATGCTTGCCAGATGAAAAACCAGACTCTCATCCCTCTGCTTCTGAAAGCCCGTGCAGACCCCATGATAAGGAACAAGGTAAGGGCCTAGCAACTGTGGTCCTCCAAGTGGCAAGCTCTTCTCATCTGGGCTTTTTGTAGAAGTAAGTTCACTGTCTCCTGTGTTAGTCTCGGTAAATTAATTGCTCCTCTTAAGGAAGGAAGGAAGGATTGCACTAGTTTTACTTTTGAATTTAAAATATTAATACTTTTCATATTTAGGATTAAATACATCATATTTAATATGTTTGGCAAGTGCTCTACAACTGGGCTACATCTCCAACACCCTTTTGCTCTTTAAATTTTGAGACAGGGTCTCATTCAGCTGCCCAGGTAGGACACTGAATGCTTTCCAGTCTCTTATTTTTTATTTTTTGTTATTTATTTATTTATTTGAACAGGAGGCTTTTTGAAGCCTCTACAAAGTCTGAGAGTCGACTGTCTAAACTGCTGACTAGTCCTCATTGACATTTGTCTTTCCTGGGAGTAAACGATTTCTCTTTTCTGCAGCATGGTGAGAGTTCACTGGATATCGCACAGAGACTAAAATTTTCCCAGATTGTATTAATGCTAAAGAAAGCCTCATAGCCCTGTGAATTCTTGTGTGGTGACAGAGATACAGCTGAAGGACTGGATGTTGTCGCTTTCATGGATGATTGCTCTACAGACACCCAAGCTGGATGCATCTGCCTTGTGACAAGCACTGGACTTAAAATGACTTTCATTCAGTGGAGGTCACCATGGCCACCATCCCTCTGAAGGACCCATTACACTTGTTGGAATCTCTATTACTGTTAAAACTGATTTTTTTTAAAAATTCTAATTCAGTGTCTTTTAAGAACAAGCCAGAGTTGCCCGAGGTCACATTCTCTCTTCCTAGTTGTGTCAGCCTTCCAAAGACTTTGCCCTACATCCTGTCCTGGGAGACAAATGGTTCTTCACAGGCCCCTTGACGTACTAAGCCAAACAATCAAAGCATGTGCATTTGAAGAACATGGCATGTACGTGTGGAGAGTTAGAGATTCCAGCATAAATATTCCTTTGATGGAAAATCTTCAGTAAAAACATCTGTCAGTTGTCAGTTATGAGTTTGTCTAAACCATAGAAACTGGTACATGTTCCACAGCAGAACTGGTTTTTGTCATCGTTTCCCAGGGGCTGGTTGACTTATATACCAGCATACAGTTCACCATCAGTTTATAAGTAAGTGTCTTCTCAGTTTATAAGTTATGTAAGTATCAAAAATGTCTGTACAGAGTCCTTATCAGCAGAAGCTGTAGCCAAGTGGTCAGAGCATGTGTTTGGTATTCATAAAGGCCTGAGCTTAATCCTCACCACCACAAATAATCTTCTTGTGAACACAAGTTAGTTGCTATTTGTTTATCTATTTCTCTTTTTGTGGCATTGGGAGTTCAACTTGGAACCTCACTCCAACCAAGTGTGTTGTCTACCACTGTTACACACTCAGCCCCAATTCTGTTTAGTTTTATTGACAAAATTTAAAACATTATAACTTATTTGTTTAAAGGTCTTACCTCTTCATAGAAACAGAGAAGTATTTGGGTTGTATTTCTAATTGAGAGGTTATGAATACTAAACTATCTGTCTTACTCCTTTTGTGAATGACACTAAATGGAACTAAATCTACGTCATGAGTGAATCTTGAAAATCCAGATGATCTAGGCACAGTTGTAGACATGGACTAAGCCACATTACATACTGCAGCCAAAACAATAAACAATGAAAGATTTTCTATCCTTGAATACAAAAGGGATCAATAATATCAAACCTGGAAATGTTCACGGAGCTATGTAAAGAACCCAAGGGTCTACATAGGGTCCTGAATTCTTTAAGGAACTTACCTAAGATGCATCAACGTTGGACCAAGCTACCAGGTAACTCTGGGGAGGGAGGAAAAATGAACCTCACAGTCTAATTTATGTTCAACAAACACTGTATATTCTCAGCGGGTACATCCAACAGGCACAGATGGGCTTTGATCTGTCTTCAGAGTAGACTGCAAAATAATATCCATAACTTACAACTTGTCACCTTTGAAATCATGTGAAAATTAAAGAGTTTTCTAAGGACTTAAATCTAGATTTATGAATGTGTTGGGAGATTATTTACAAGTAATTCTGCTTTGATTAAAAGATAAAATATACAACAATTTATTTCATTCTCCTCATGACATAAATTTTTCTTCATAGCTTTCATTTGGACCAGGTAGTCTCCTAACAGCAGCTGAAAATCTCAGTACTGACACACAGATATGCTATATGAGACACACAATTAATTTATTGAAAAACTCATAAATACCCTAAAAAACAATCTTTGAGATTCAGCTATAAACTTAACCTTATTCTTAAGTTGTTTAGCTTAGATTCCACCTACCATAATTTCATTTTTCTGTTGTTGTCCAAATGGCTTGCCTTCCTAAAGCAGTACCCTGTCTTAATGGAATAAGATGGCAATGTATAGTTCATTTTATCCAAGTCAACAGTCCGAATATTTACAATTTTAATCTCTGTCCAAATTCTTCCTTTTACTTTATTGCTCCAATATTTAACTTACAGAAACAAGAATCAGTTTGGAAAGGTTGAATGAAATAATTAATTTCTAGGTACTTTCTGTTGGTGAAGTAATAGCTACACTACAAGACGGTAGAAGGTCCTGAGCACAGGAAACCTCTGTTCACCAACTTAGCTTAATTAACTGAAAAAGCATGTAAGTATCAGCTTTAGTGTCAGAGGAAGCACCCTGAAGCATTCCTCTGAACCAGCAGGTCTTCTGGCATCCCTGTAGCCCAGCCCATACTGTGTGACATTGTCCCAAGACTTGCAAACAGGAGGAGCTTCACAGTGCGACCTGGCAGGTTCCCTGGGAAAGGCTGGGCTCTCTCTTCATCAGATGTATGATCTCACTGTACACACGCTGAGGGGCATCCAGCCCCCAGATGAAATCCACATGAGCCCATTCAGGAATGTTCTTGTGGTAGATGAGGTTGGTCATTTCAGAAAGCAGTGTTTTCACATCATCTGGATTTGAAAGCCAGTCTTGACCTCCAGTCCACATTGCTGTGGGGACCGTCATATCTCGAACTTTGTACCTTGTAGGAGTTGGCTAGATGAAAAGAATAGTTTGAACTCCACATGATATTTTTACAGCCAAATTTACAACTTCTATTTCAAGTAAACATAATGCACATGTCCTGGGCTGTGATGAAAGTGTGTATAGGAGTTAGAGTCACTTAGAACTCTGCTAATAGTTTCTATTCCAGATCCAATTTCAAGGAAAACTTTTAACATGATTCAACTTTAGTTTCTTCACTGTGAAATGGGCATAGTAACTCTAAAACCTTACTAGATCCCCAGAGAAGGCATACAAATTAGCTCTGTGTGTGTGTGTGTGTGTGTGTGTGTGTGTGTGTGTGTGTGTGTGTGTGTCCACAGGGATTTGACCCATGGCCTTATGCATGCTGAGCACATGTTCTAACACTAAGCTGCACTTGTACTTTAAACATTGAATAATGTGTAATTTTTGTTATTAAACATTTTATACATAAAATCTTCTTTTAAAATAATGTCCTTGTTAGTTATAGTTATGGGACAGGAATTGGAGACACTCCACAGGAAAGACAAGGGAACCTATTACGAAGGCCCAAGGGACACAGTCCAGGTTCAGCGTCACTGAACCTCTCAAACCAGGAGAAACTACAAATCAACCTCAGGCACTCAGCTACTCCAAACTAAGGAGGGTGTTAAATTAAATACCTGTCCCAACCTCCACTCAGCTTCCCCCCTAAATCATCTTCTTCTTTATCCAAGGAACTTCTGTTCAGACCAAGCTGGTAGAGTTTTTTGGCAGTTTGAGTCCTTGAGATCAGTTAACACTCAGAAATTTCCATAGAATCAGGGAGGCCAGTGTCTTAGCATAAAATCAGCTGCAAGTCCTAGCTTCAATCCTAGATAGCTTCTTTGTCTTCCTGGCTCCCTAAGAACTTAAGTGGCTGCCTAATTTAGATGCAGAGCAGAAGGACACTCTGGTGTGAATAATGCTCTTTCTCATCTTCTGGGTGAAAAGATTGAGCTAAATGTCCCACCTAGCTCTAGCTGACACGGTCTGTGGCATCTTCCCACACATCTGTTTTTCTTCCCTTCATTGCCATTTCCTCATGCTGATTTTGCATTTGTCATTGTCCCTAGAAATCAGTCCACAAAAGCCTTATAAATGAGAAACATCTTAGAACCTGAATGTTCTCTCTAAAGTCGTGGTATTGAAGATAGTCAAGGGCGATCTCAAAAGAGGGAGTTGAAAAATGTGACTAAGTTTGGTATCTAAGGGCAACCACACAGTTTCCCAACATTTTATGTCTAGGTGGATTACTGCATTGGATGTTAAGTATAATGTAAGACCCCAAAGAAAGATTAAGCTGTGTATGGCTAATCTCTACATTCATGACAACCAGGCATCTTCAGTGAGTGTTTTACACTCACAAGAGCATACTTGCTCAACTCTGATTCTCCACTTTTCTATTTCATACTCATGATAATGTAGTAATATTTGTGTGGGCTTCTTTTGTATTTTAGTTTGAAAATTGTATTCATTAAAAGTATGATCAGAAAGCACATGTGCATGTGCCCACATGTGCATGTGGTGATCTATGTGCATATGTGTGTAACATGTGCACACATTATGAAGCATTGTGTGTGTGAATGGAGGCCAAAGGAGGACATGGGGCAGCTTGTCTGACACTGTTCGTCCTGCCCCCTTGAGACAGAGCTCTTGCTGAATCTGGAGTCCACTGTGTTTCTGGCTAAACTGGCTGGTCAGTAAGCCCCGGCAATCCTCCTGTCTTCTACACCCAACCCCCAACACTGATGTTCTAGACATGCTTGGCCATGCCTGGCTTTTTGTAGAAGTGCTGGGGGAACCCAGGTCCTTATGTTCACACAACAAGTACTCTTACCCATGGACTGTCTCCCCAGCCTTCTCCCCAGGCATCTTAAGGATTACATGTAGAATGGTTTCTATTTTAGATAGAGTAAGTCCTCAATAACGGCAGCCTACCCACAATCCCACAGGCTTGAGGTACAGAGCCATGACAAACAGGGATCTCCATCTACTGCTTCAGGCTTTTTTTTTTTTTACTGCGTCACTTTATTATAGCATCTCCATGTGCATGTTTGTTTTGGTCCTAAAAGGATCCCTTTAGAATGCACTCATCCCTCACTAACTTGACCCCATCTTGCTCCCAAGAAGCCCTGATGCCTTGCTCCTGGGACAGGCTCAATGAAACAGACCTCCCATGCCTTGTGGAAATGAAGAGGTTGCTGGCTAAGTACTCTCCCATTTTCAGATGCAGTTAGACTTGAACTATGATCTTTCCTGCTTGAATTTCTGTATTTTATTCCTATCTCTGGAATAACGTATCACCATAACTTCCCTCTCACACATTTCTGAAGGGTGATGTATTTTTAACAGGTGGTATTAGACAGTCTTACTTGATTGCATTTCTCCAGATTTTTGGTCTCACTTCCCCAGTCAAAGGCACGAAGTTCACCAGAATTCACTGCCTAGGAAGAAAGAAAGAAAGAAAGAAAGAAAGAAAGAAAGAAAGAAAGAAAGAAAGAAAGAAAGGA